CGAATGCTCAACCTGTTCAAGCATGTACGATTTCATCACCATGTCTTTGTCGCATCTCCGGTTCAACATCAACGGTGGCATCATATCCGTCACGCCTTTCAATCATCAGTAGATTTCGAGAATCCGATYAGCCCAACGCCACATCGCACATACATCGTCTATTGTCAATCTTAAGCCGTTCTTCCGTTCTACTTCATCCCGCCTTGAGCTTGAGGGGGCGTATAGAAGGATCTAGAAGATCCATATGATCAAAGAAGATATTGTGAATATATTTCTAATAATTATATCATTTATGTATTTGTGTAAATTAGGAAACTATGTTAATTATGTTTAATAGTCTRTTCTCTATATAAACCCATGTATTATAACCTTTATCATTATGAGAGTAAATATAATTCTTCCCATCTAATCTCTCATCAATCTCTAATAAGGACCTCATTACGAGGGAGGTTAATTTGTACGTTCTTGGGGCCTGTAATGAGACCGTATACGAGAAGAATCACGACGAAATGCATTCTCCTCATGTCCAAATCCTGTTTTGTTGTGGTACTGAGAACGAGGGTGGTTGTCGCTCCTCTGGTTCGAGCTTTGGTATTGATAGTAGTAGTCACCTTTGCGATCGTATCTATTACGATGATCATCTTTGTGATGTGTATCACGAGAGTCAGAAGGATTGTAATCTCTAGCCTTGGGTTTCAGTACTTGAGCAGAGCGCTCCTCTCTGTTTCTATCTAGATTTGGATCTTCGTTGCGCTTCCGATTAGCTTCAAGTTTATATCTTGTGTTTAGGTGATTGAGATTTACCTGACTTGATTTTTGAGCATCTGGAAGAGAACTTGTAGGGCAGTTCTTCTCTTCATGGGCTAGGGACAAGCATCAGAAGCAATGTTTTTCAAGCTTTTCATATTGAAGCTCAATAGAAACCTCTTCTCCCGATGGGAATTGGACAGTTTTGTTCATTGCTAGAGGTTTTAGAGCATTAATATGAACTCGCACTCTTCCTTCATCAGTATCGTGGTCAATATACTTACCAAGTATATTACCAATCGTCGTAAGGCTACCTGCAGTTCCTCCATGAAGGGGGATGCAC